AGCCTGCGGTCCAGAGAGACCCAGGTTTGGTTCCTGCTAAGGGCACGTACCTCGGTTGCAGTTTGTCCCCGGCCCTGGTTGGGTCGTGCAGGAGGCAATCACTCGATGTGTCCCTTTCACGTCGATGTTTCACTCTCTCTCTCTTCTTCTCTCTCCCTCCCACTCTATCTGAACGAAAAATGGAAAAATGTTCTCAGGTGAGGATTAAAAAAACAAAACAAAAGAAAGGGCATTGATTGGCCACCTCCTGCACACCCCCCACTGGGGATTTGGCCCACAACCTGGGCATGTGCCCTGACCGGGAATTGAACCAGCGACCTCTTGGTGCATGGGTCGATGCTCAACCACTGAGCCATACTGGCCGGGTCATTCTATTTTTTCTTTAGTGCTCACCTGAGGCTCTGACTGGTTTGGCTCAGCAGTAGAGCGTCAGCCTGCAAACCAAAGAGTCGCAGGTTCCTCCCCCTCTCCCTCTGTCTGAAGATAAATAGAAAAATATTCTTACCTGGGATGGAGGGAAAGAGAGAGAGAAACATCAATGTGAGAGAGACATACTGATGAGCCACATCTCGCATGAATCAAACCATAACGAAGGTATGTGCTCTTGACCGGAATTGAACCCGTGACCCTTAGGTCTGAAGCCCAAAACTCTAACCACTGCTCACCGACCAGGGCTAGTTTCATTCTTGAATATGCATGAGACACAGGAACTTTTAGACCCTTCCTGCCTTGGGAGTAGTGGTCCAAGTTGACTCATTCCAAAATTGGAATAGCAAGCCTGTTGGAAAGGAGTCAGCAGGCTCAAAATGGAGTCACCTGTAGGAAACCCCACATCAGCCAAACAAGAAACGATACCTAACTTAAAGGCAACTTCAAGAAATCTTGGAATGTAACCTTTAACCAATCCACCTGGAATTACTGGGTCAGCACCAACGGGATAAAAGTCCTCACCTTCCATTCCCCATACAAGGGCAACCTTGCCAGAAACTATGTGTTTTTTTTGCTAAGAATTATCTTTTTCTACATCCTCTTTTTCCAAGTCTAAAAATCTTTCCTTTTCTGTAGTCCTTTGGAGCTCCTTTCTCCTGGCTAGATGGGATGTTGCCCGATTAATGAATCATTGAATAAAACCAATTTGATGTTTAAATAGACTTGTTAGATTTTTTTGTTATTTAACAAGCCAGGGGATCGCACATTCATAAAAGTCACGCTTCAATTTTGAAGAGACCCGACTAGTAAGCTATTTACTGCTTTCAAAAGTGTACCTGTTAGGCGCTGGCCGGTGTGACCCAGCATCAGCCCACCCACTGAAGGGTCACTGGTTTGATTCCCAGCCAAGGGGATCCCCCGCCCCCCACTGGGACACAATCCATGTGTCTGTCTCACATCAATGTTTCTCTCTCTCTCCTTTCCAGTCTCTAAAAATCACTGGAAAAAATACCCTTGGGTGAGGATTAGCAGCAACAAATAAAAGAGTTCCTGTTAGCTGTGTCAGGGTGGCCCTGAGTTCATGCACCAGATGTGTTCTAAGGGGAGGCTACTCCCTTAGCGAGAGGCTCTAAATGACAAAATCACTCACAGAGACATGTGCCTTCTCCCATATCCCAGAGGTCTGGGAAGGGGAGCCCGAGCCACAGCAGATGTTCTTTCCCTGCTGGAAGGACTGAGCTCAGTACATCTGCCCTAGAATCCCAATCAGCTGTCACTGAAAAACAACACTCTGAATATGGTCAGATTGGGTTAGTCACTCCCATTGGCAGAGAGGGGATGACACCTTAGACAGAACGATGGAGACTGAGGCCTCTAACCTGCCAAAAAGAGGATATTTATATAATGAAAACAGTACGTATCAGAGGTTAGTAGCACTTGATCTAAACCCTCGCCCATCCTAGTGACAAGAGACAAGGTACTTTGTTTCATTACCACTACTCTACCTGACCTCACTGGCTGTGATAAAGCCCTCTGGTGCTTAGGGGATGGGGAAGCACAGGTCTAGCACACATATTTCCTACTATGTTCTGATGCAGACAAACAAAAGAATGTTGCCTTTTCCCAAGAAATGTGCTATGATCTGTGTGCGCGCCACAAAATTCACACATGGAAACTTAAATCACCAAAGTCATGGTATTAGGAAGTGGAGCCTTTGGGATGTGATTAGGTCTTGAGGGCAGAGTCCTCATGGATGTGATTGATGCCCTTGAACAGGAGGCTTGAGAGGGCTCCCTTAACCCCCTCTACCATGTGAAGATTCAAGGAGAAGTCTCCCATTCAGAAGAGGACCCTCGCCTGACCATGCTGCACCCTGACCTCAGACTTCCAGCCTTCAGAACTGTGAGATAGTTGTTATCAGCCACTCTGTCTGTGGAATTTTGATACAGCAGCCTGAGCCGACTGACATGGGCTCCATCGATCTCACAGTCAGCTTCCCTCTGGTATGAGATGACACACAAAGGATATTCATATAGGGCTCAGTCACCATCCAGCCTCATTGCCAAGACAATCAGAAATGGAAAGAGCCCTGGCCGGTTTAGCTCAGTGGTTGGAGCATTGGCCTGCGGACCAGAGAGTCCCAGGTTTGGTTCTCGCTAGGGTCACAGATTAAAAAAAAGAAAGAAAAAGAAAAGAAATGGAAAGAGGTTAATATTTTACCATGTTTGCAAACCAACAAGGTAGCCAGCCTGTTTCAGGGATGCTGAAAAAGACATGAAACTCCTGGGACCCAGACAAAGACACTATTATTTACGGCACAAAAGGCAGCAAGAGCTTTGTATTCACATCTGTTCACATGGCTCCCACAGCCCCATGGTAAAGAGTTCCAGGTGGCTGCCCTGGCCGATTTGGCTCAGCGGTTAGAGCGTCGGCCTGTGGTCCGGAGAGACCCGGGTTCGGTTCCCGCTAAGGGCACGTACCTCGGTTGCAGTTTGTCCCCGGCCCTGGTTGGTCGTGCGGGTGGCAGCCACTCGATGTGTCCCTTCACGTCGATGTTTCTCTCTCTCTCCCTTCCTCTCTCTCCCTCCCACTCTATCTGTACAAAAAATGGAAAAATATCCTCGGGTGAGGATTAAAAAAAAAAAAAAAAAAAAGAGTTCCAGGTGGATGCTGCACACACTATAGGTTTATGTCACAACTGGAGACATAATGTGCATTTAATCACCAAAGGACTAAAGATGTCTGGACTTTTATTCTGTAATGTTTCTAAGACTGTGTCCATTAAATGCAAACAGAAAAGGAATAAGTCTTGGCAGAACAGGAGAAGTGATGCACACTTGATGATCAGATCGATTTAAATATTATTCATGGCATATAGCTTAGCCCATGCTCTAGCTGTTTCTATGGCTTGGGCTTCTTTGGTCTTCCACTGCTCTGCTACATCATTTGCTAATGGATTGTCTGGATTGGGAGCACTCAACAAAGCCTGGATGGATAGCAGAACTGTGTGAATCTGCAGTGCTGGGGACCACTTATCTTTCAAAATATCTAAACATATTCTTCCCAACTTGTCTACATCAGGATGATAAATTTTGGTCATGAAACGTACATCAGGTATTCTTCAGCTAGGAATAGTTCAAATTTAAAAGTCCCTCCCTCAAAGGGAGAATCCTAGGAGCCAGCAATGACCACATGAAAGTAACGGGCGTTGCTCTCGTCTGGTTCTGCTTTAATGCCGGGAACTAGTTCTGCCAGCAAACGCTGGGTTTCCTTGATAATCCAGCGGGGCAGCCTGGCCATCTTGTCATATCCCAGGTTCGGCCTTCGGTCTAGTCTCTGGCTCCGCTTGCCTCACACACCAGTGGAAGTCCCAGGCTGTTTTTAAAACAATTTGTACCTGCAGTCATGAAATTTTCCGTCAAAGAGCTTTGAATACTACCAGAATATGTGAAATGTTTATTGCTTTTAGACAATGCTCCTGCTAATCCACCCGAAAATATCTGATGTTCAGAAGATGGCAAATTTAGATATATGTTTTCACCAAATACATCACCTATCCAACCCATGGACCAGGGGATAATTCTGGCGACCAAACGAATGTACTGCAAAAAGCTTTTCGAGGAAAGAATGGTGATATTGCAGGATGAAGATAATGAAGAAGATACAAGAGGACAGCATATCTTACAAAACTTAAAGAGTTACAGTATAAAATGAGCATTTTTAAATGCTGCTGCATGGAAAGAAGTGCAAGTGCAAACACTGGAAAATGGGAGAATTTGCTTGGTGACGAAGATGCAGGCTTGGATTTAGAAGTGCTAGAGGTTACTGATTACCGTGGCACAATACAGAATATTGGTGAAGTAGCTGAGGAAGATATTTTACAGTGTTTAGATGAAGGTGAACCCGGGAATCACATCATGACTGAAAGTGAAGTAGTAGATGAGATTATGACCTTGAAAGATGAGGATGGAAGTGAAGATAAAAAGAATGAAGAAACAACACAGCCAAAAATAAAGTTAGTGATTAGATTGCATCTTGATGATCTAATGACATTTGTTGACAATCAGATAACAAAATTCAGCTTTATTACACCCATTTTTGTATAATTTTAGGGAGTTAATTATTTTAAAAAATCAGCAGACTTCAAAAGATCACACACAACTTTGTATTTTCAAAGCAGGATTGCCTAAAGCAAGAACCTTGACATTGAACATCAATCTCACACCACAACACGAGTGCCTGGATATAGCCTCATCCAAAGACCATAAAATACAAAAAATAATAATTTTAAATAAAATTTAAACTTCTTTTTTTTAAGAACACTGTTTGTTAGTTCAATACACTTAAAGTGTATTTTCAGAAAAATGTGTATTTCTATTTAGATCGTATTCTTGTTTATTACAGTCTCAAAACTATGGTGAGTGCATAAGAGGTAATGCATATAGAAAATTTTTCTTTGAAATTAAACTTTTCATAAATACTTAATTTTAATTACACAAACATGTCTACATAAGTAAAAACACTTAAACTAATTTGTGAATTTTGAAACATATGCATTTGAAAAACCAACTTTATTATATAATGGACTTTTGACTTTAATGGATATCCCCTCACCCAAATAAGTGCATTATATTGAGATTTTACTGTATAAAGTTTCTCTAAGTATGAGTTTGCTGATGTAAAGTGAGATAAGTCTTCATGGTGAAGCCTTTTCCACATACATTACATACATACGGCTTCCCTCCTGTATGTTTTCGCTGATGTGTGATGAGATGACTCTTCATTATGAAATCTTTCCCACATTCACTACAAATATAAGGTCTCTCCCGTGTATGAGACCGTTGATGTAAAATCAGCTGCATCTTCACTGGGAAGCCTTTTCCACATTCACTGCATACATAGGGTTTTTCACCTGTGTGAATTCGCTGATGTAAAATTAAAGAACTCTTCACAGTGAAACCTTTCCCACATTCATTGCACATATACGGTTTCTCTAAAGTATGAATTCGCTGATGTACAGTGAGACTACTCTTCACAGTGAAGCCTTTTCCACATACACTGCATACATAAGGCTTCTCCCCTGTGTGTGTTCTCTGATGTTTGATGAGAAGACCCTTGCCGGTGAAGCCTTTCCCACACTCATTACATATATACGGTTTCTCTCCTGTGTGAGACCGTTGATGTAAAATCAGCCGCCTCTTCACTCGGAAGCCTTTTCCACATTCACTACATACATAGGGTTTTTCCCCTGTGTGAGTTCGGTGATGTAAAATCAGAGAACTCTTCATAGTGAAACTTTTCCCACATTCACTGCATACATAGGGTTTTTCTCCTGTATGAGTTCGCTGATGTAAAATCAGAGAACTATTCACAGTGAAACCTTTCCCACATTCATTGCACATGTATGGTTTCTCTAAAGTATGAATTCGCTGATGTACAGTGAGATTACTCTTCATGGTGAAGCCTTTTCCACATACACTACATACATAAGGCTTCTCTCCTGTGTGTGTTTGCAGATGTTTGAAGAGAAGATTCTTCCTGCTGAGGCCTTTCCCACACTGATTACATATATATGGTTTTTCTCCTGTATGAGTTCGCTGATGTCTGGTAAGAGTGTTCATCAAGGCGAAGTCTTTCCCACACTCATTACACATATATGGTTTCTCTCCTGTATGAGTTCGATGATGTGCAATAAGACGACACTTTTCAATGAAGCCTTTTCCACATTCACTGCATATATAAGGTTTCTCTCTTGTATGGGTTTTCTCATGTTTATTGAGATGAGACTTTGTAGAGAAGGTCTTCCCACATAGACTACATCCATGGGGTTTCTCTCCTGTATGAGTTTTCTGATGTGTGGTAAGAGTGTTCATCGCAGCAAAGCCTTTTCCACACTCATTACATATGTATGGTTTCTCTCCTGTATGAGTTCGATGATGTGCAATAAGACGACACTTCTCAATGAAGCCTTTTCCACATTGAATGCATAAATAAGGTTTCTCTCTGGTATGAGCTCTCTGATGACGAACGAGCTGAGCCATTTTGATGAAGGCTTTCCCACATTCAATACATATGTGGGCTTTCTCTATTTTGTGAGTTCGCTGTTGCTTAATAACCTGGGAATTGTTATTGATGTTTTTCGTACTAACAGGCAATTTAATTTGAGTGTAAAACTGTGCATGGCTGCCCTGCAGAATGCATGTCCCGTCTCCATTCAATTCACTAGAATTGGTTAGGTTACAGTTTCTGTTTTGGTTTTCAAAACATAAATTTGATTTTAAAGGTTGCTGACGTATCTTAAACATATCATGATTTTGCTTGAGTAAGAAATGACCTTCACTCTGATTAACAGTATTTCCTAATCTATTATGTTCACAGCATCGTTCCACACTCTTCTGAGTGTTTTCATTTTGCAGGTGATACTGCAGAGGATCATCATTTTTCATGATTTCTAAAAAAAAAAAAAAAACAGTAAATAATTCTGTAATCTCTCATAATCTTAATTTGACATAAAACTTTTTACAAAATGTCTTCATGTGAAGTAACTATGTGTTGTAGAATAAGAAATGTATTTTTTGTAGAATAAGAAATATATTTGGTCTTCATTCACAGCACTGAGCTTATAAAACCTTTGTAATTTCCTAAGGATATAAGTATCCTTACTGGGTCCTTTTCACAGGATCTCAAGAATGCATGATGTCAGCTAGGACTGTGATGTCATCTGGAGCTAGGGACATCTTTCAAGCTTATTGATTATTGGTACAATTCAGTTCTTGTGATTGTGGGACGGAGGCCCTGAGCTCCCAGAGTTGGCATGTTGTTTCCTGATAGGTGACCCTCTCTACAACATGGCACGTTGCTCTAAGGTTAATAGGAGAGCACCCCTGCTACTTCTGCTGCTTGTTTTTTAACTTTGGATACTTTTAAAAAGCTCACCTGATTAGGTCAGGGAATTTAGCACTTTCCAAGTCACTCCTAGATTCTTTACTATGCATCGTTTATCTTTGATCATTTCATTCAGTAGTTTTCTGCCACAAATTGTAACCATAAGTATAACAGTACACTCCCCTTTGTGATAATGTCTACCTTCTACATCGTAGGCAAAGTAGTTCGTTTTAAAAATGAGTTACATAATGCCACTTCTCTACTCAAAGATTTCTACTTGTTTCTCAACTTTAATGGAATGAAAGCAAGGTCATAAATGGCCTCAAGAGGTAATGTGTGACCTATATTTCAGAATTTCCAGCTGCCAACTCATTGTCCTTATCTGCAGTCATTTTCCCTTATGCTCATTTCACTCTATCCAGACTTCCTAGAACACACTCCAGATTCATTTCTTTGAATTTCCCCTAGTTTCACATTTGGAAAACTCCAGGGAGCTGACTTACATCCCTCATTAATATGCTGAAAGGCACCCTATCAAAGAGCCATTGCCACTCCTCAAAGTGCAGTTTGGGGACAAACAACCACTGTTCTACTGGCTGCTTCAATTTTTCTTACAGTAATATTTACCCTAAGATATATCTTTATTATTGATCATACAGTACTCTCCAGAGAACAAAAATATGTGAAGGGTAGAGATAAGGTCTATTTTTTTCCATCTTATTTTATCATTATTTTTTAATCCTAACCCAAGGATATATCTCTACTGATTTTAGAGAGAGAGGGAAGGAGAGGGAGACAGAGAGAAATGTCAAAGTGAGAGACAAAAACATTTATCAGTTGCCTCCTGTATGTGCCCTGACCAGGAATCAAACCCACAACCCTTTGGTGCATGACACACCTCTCCTACCAACTGAATCACACGGATCAGGGCAATTTTTTTTCTTATTTAAATATGTTTTTATTGATTTTTTTAGAGAGAGGGAGAGATAGAAACATCGACGTGAGAGAGAAACAAAGCTATAATTTAGAATCGATGGATATATACAGAGTTCTCCAGACAAGAAAAAGCTAAAGGAGTTCACCACCACCAAACCAATATTATATGAAATGTTGAAGGGTCTGCTTGAAGAAGATAAAAAATATGAACAATAGCCTTGGCCAGTTTGGCTCAGCAGTTAGAGCGTCGACCCGTGGACCAGAGCATCCCAGGTTCGGTTGGGGTTGTGTGGATGGCGACCAGTTGATGTGTGTCTCTCACATTGATGTTTCTCTCTCTCTATTCCTTCCTCTTTCTCTCCCACTCTATCTATAGAGAAATGCAAAAAATGTCCTTGGGTGACGATAAAAAAAAAAAAAGAATAAAATGGTAACAAATATATATCTATCAACAATTGAATCTACAAACCAAATGAAAAGGCAGAACAGAAACAGACTCATAGATACAAAGAACTTTTTGTTGGTTGCCAGGTGGGAGGGAGTTTGGGGGAATGAGGGAAAAGGTGAATGGATTAAGAAATACAAATTGGTTGTTAGACTGACAAACCTCAAAGAGAATGGGGAAGGGAGTGAGCAGAGATAAACCAAAGAACTTATATGCATATATGCATAACCAATGGACACACACAATACTGTGGGGAATATGGGGGTGGGTCAATGGGGGCAAAAATGGGGGATATCTGTAATACATTAAACAAAAAGATGACCTGGCCAGTTTGGCTCAACGGTTAGAGCGTCGGCCTGTGGTCCAGAGAGACCTGGGTTCAGTTCCCGCTGAGGGTGCGTACCTCGGTTGCAGTTTGTCCCCGGCTCTGGTTGGTCATGTGGGTGGCAGCCACTTGATGTGTACCTTTCACGTCGATGTTTCTCTCTTTCTCTCTCTTCCTCTCCCTCCCACTCTGTCTGAACAAAAAGTGGAAGAGTGTCCTTGGGTGAGGATAAAAAAAATAATAATAATAATAAAAAAATAAAAGAAAACAATTTCATTTACTTATAATTTGTTGGAAGAAATGAAAGACCAAATAAGATAGCAAGACACCCAATGATCATGGATCAGTATGTTTAACATGGTTAAGATGGAATCACTACCCAACTGAGATAAAGATTCAATGTAATCCCCTATCAGGATCCTAGCTGGGTTTTCCTTTTTTTTGCAGAAATTGACAAACTGATTCTAAAATTCCAATAAAAATTAAAGAATCCAAAAGTCAAATTTGTCTTTAAAGAAAAGAACAGGGTTGGAGGATTCATTCTCTCCAACTGTGAAACTTTCTACAAAGGTACAGCAATCAAGGCCATGATGAGAATATGTACATATAAAATGTTCCCAAATTGATTATGGTGGTGGTTGTACAACTATATCAATATATTGTAAACCAGTGAATTATAAAAATTAAATAGGTAAATTATATGGTACATGAATTAAATGTAAGTAAAACCATTAAAAATATGATGTGAAAAAGGTTTAGGAAAATAAATGCAGTGATAACACCTAAGAGTGAAGAAAAATCAGAATCAGTAAAACTAGGAAGAAAGTAATTTAAAACAGACCTAAGTTATGACCTACTTTGGGCTATAACTCATGTAGCATGTTAACAAGACCTTTTCCTCTTTTTATATTTTTTTGGTACGTGCCCCTATCGGGAACCGAACCTGGGACTCTCTGGTCCACAGACCAGCGCTCCAACTGCTGAACCAAACCACCCAGAGCAAGACGTTTTCTTATTCTTCTTCTTTTTTTTTTTATCCTCACCCGAGGATATTTTTCCACTTTTTGTACAGATAGAGTGAGAGGGAGAGAGAGGAAGAGAGAGAGAGTGAGAGAAACATCGACGTGAAGGGACACATCGAGCAGCTGCCACCCACACGACCAACCAGGGCCAGAGACAAACTGCAACCGAAGTACGTGCCCTTAGCAGGAACCGAACCCGGGTCTCTCCGGACAGCAGGCCGACGCTCTAACCACTGAGCCAAACCAGCCAGGGCGACGTTTTCTTCTTAATTGAATAAAATGGTAGAGACCAGACCTTTAAGAAGAGAAGGCATACCTTCACCGGTTTGGCTCAGCGGTCAGAGCGTCGGCCTTCGGTCCAGAGAGACCTGGGTTTGGTTCCCGCTGAGGGCATGTACCGTGGTTGCAGTTTGTCCCCGGCCATGGTTGGGTCATGCGAGAGGCAGCCACTCGATGTGTCCCTTTCACATCGGTTGCTCTCTCTCTCCCTCCCACTCTATCTGAACAAAAAATGGAAAAATGTCCTCGGGTGAGGATAAAAATATAAAATAAAATACATAAAGAAGAAAAGGCAGCCCTGGCCGGTTTGGCTCAGTGGTTAGAGAGTTGGCCTGCGGTCCAGAGAGACCTGGGTTCAGTTCCCGTTAAGGGCGTGTACCTCAGTTGCAGTTTGTCACTGGCCCTGGTTGATCCTGCGAGTGGCAGCCACTCGATGTGTCCCTTTCACGTCGATGTTTCTCTTTTTCTCTCTTCCTCTCTCTCCCTCCCACTCTATCTGAACAAAAAATGGAAAAAGTCCTCGGGTGAGAATTAAAAAAAAAAAAGAAGAGAAGACAGCATGTAAAGAATATCGCAGGTGATGCCAGGGTAGAGATCATTTCAAATGTCTAGTGCAGCATGGCCAGTGTGGCTCAGTGGTTGAGCATCAACCCTTGTACCAAGAGGTCACCAGTTCGATTCCCAGTCAGGCACATGCCCAGGTTGTGGGCCAAATCCCCAGTAGGGGGCATGCAGGAGACGGCCAATCAATGTTCTCTCTCATCGATGTTCCTATCTCTCTCTCCCTCTCCCTTCCTCTGTCACTAAAAAAATCAATTAAACAAAAAAAAAAAAAGAAAAGAAAAAGAATGGAGGAGCCTGGCTGGTTTTGCTCAGTGGTTAGAGCAGTGTTGGCCCATGGACTGAGGGTCACAGGTTCAAGTCCCAGTCAAGGACACTTATCTGGATTGTGGGTCTGATCCCCAGCCCCGGTCAAGGTTGTGCATGAGGAAACCAATCGATGTGTTTCTCAAATCAATGTTTGTTTCTTTCTCTCCCTCCTTCCTTCCCTCCCACTCTATCTAAAAATCAATGGAAAAATATCCTCGAGTGAGGATTAAAAAAAGAATGGAGGAAAGATGAATCCTGCTCTCACACACACAAAAAAAGATAAGTCAGAGAACTGCTGCCATGATAATGAGTAAAATACATAGGAAGAATGTGTACATTATACAATTTTTTTTAAAGGTATTTTTTTATTTTTTTTAGCATTCATCATCAGATAGAGCGAGAGGGAGAGAGAGAGAAACATCGATGTGAAAGAGATACATCGACTGGCTGTCACCCACACAACCCCAATTGGGACCTGGGACAAACTGCAACCGAGGGATGTGCCCTTAGCGGGAACTGAACCTGGGCCTCTCTGGGCTGCGGGCCGACTCTCTACCCACTGAGCCAAACCGGCCAGGGCACATTATATAATCTTGATGTACCAGTCATTTTGGGATCCCATTTCACAGAAAAAAAAAGAGGTTTAATCATGGGAATAGAGGAAATGTTTAATAGTGATGAGTATGAAGAAACTTGATGATACAGCGGCAAAGAATAACATAAATGCCCCATCAAAACTAGGTTATCAAGAAGACACACCATCCAAGATAAGTTTGGATGTCATGGATGAAAATCAGTACTTTTTTTTTTTTTTAATCCTCACCGGAGGATATTTTTACATTTATCTTCAGACAGAGTGGGAGGAGGAGAGAAAGAGAAACATTGATGTGAGAGAGACACATTGATTGGTTGCCATCCGCAACACCCCAAACAACACTGGGGAAAGGGATGAACCGCAACTGAGGCACATGCCCTTAGCTGGAATTGAACCCGGACTCTTTGGTCTGCAGGCCGATACTCTAACTGCTGAGCCAAACAGGCCAGGGCAAAAATCAGTATTTTCAAACAGAGCAGGGAGTCCCAATAGTAATAAAAAAGTGATGGATTCAAAATTCTGTCTTTCCAGAGAGGCCTGGAAAGTTGAATTTCCTAGCAAGAGAGATGGTAACACAAACAGAGACACTGTGACTATGAACAAAGAAAAAAATTATTGATAATCCTAGTATGAAAATTACACAGACAAAAACAAAATGTAGATAAAATAAGCCAGGGTCAGAGCTCAGAAGAGAAAAAAATGTGTGTTTTCCTTTAAACGTCTACAAAGAAACAGGGTTCTCATCCGGGGAGGGAGGGTCGAGTTTCCTCATTCACTGCCATCGCTCTGACGCCTGCTCTGACTAGAATTTGCCTTCCCTGCCGCCCACCTTGTTGAGTCTCCACTCACCTGCACAGACTAGACGGTGAAGTTCACCCTGTGCTGTCCATGGTTCTTCCGCTCGTTTCAACTTGGACAGCGCATCTAGTTTTCTGACTTGATACCCTGCTCAAGAAAAATGACAGAAGACAGACATACTGAATAAGGCTGGGGTCTGCCAAGGAGGGGGAATGTACAGGTTTCACATCTCTAACACAATGACTTTTCTCTCTGGAGCAGGGACACTATACCCTCCTGCCTGGGGCAAGAGAAAGATCTAAGATTCTACACTTTGAGGGAATTGTAGTTATTCTCAAGAGTTAAGTAGCTGAGAAAGAAAAAGCCACTAACTGGGTGACACAGGGAGCTGTCCTCACCCACTGACACCAGGTTGCTGAAGTTCTCCAACATCACGTCCCTGTACAGGTCCTTCTGATCAGGGTCCAGGAACTGCCACTCTTCCGAGGTGAAGTCCACGGCCACATCGTGAAATGTGAGGGATTCCTCTAACAACTCCATGCTGTTTAATAGCATGATGTCCTTCTGATGATATAGAAGAAATCTTCTATTTTTTGCTCATTTTCACTTTATACGCTGCATCTATACAGTGAGTGGGGTTTTATTTTATATATATTTGAATAATCCCATGACTAGTAAAATACAATTTTGTAACTGTTCGCTCAGTCATCCATGAATTGATCCAATTAGATGTTAGAAGTTAAACATCCTTGTTAACCTAGAAACACCACTCTCATATATTCAAATTCATATATTTGAGACAAAAAATATATACATGTATACCTTCCAAATTAACAAAGGTGGTGTGTGTGTGTGTTTTTTTTTTCCTTTATTGATTTTTAGAGAGAGAAGAAGTGAGAGGGAGAGAGATAAAACATCGGTGAGACAGAACATCAACTGGCCGCCTCCTGCATGCCCCCCACTGGGGACCAGGCCCACAACCTGGGCATGTGTCCTGACTGAGAATTGAACTAGCAACCTCATGGAGCATGGGTCAACACTCAACCACTGAGCCACACCGGCCGGACACAAAGGTGTTTTTTTAATCCAAACTGGATGGGTTTTACTTGATGATTTATAAGAAAGGTAGGGAGCAGCAGGGAGGGAGAAGAAGAGGGAGAAAGAAGAAGGAAGGGAGGAAGATTTCCCCATATATAGTTGGTTAGATCTGCATGCACCATGTATTTAAAAAGCTCATTTCGCCCTGGCCAGTTTGGCTCAGCGGTTAGAGCGTCGGCCTGCGGTCCGGAGAGACCCGGGTGCAGTTCCCGCTAAGGGCACGTACTTTGGTTGCAGTTTGTCCCCGGCCCTGGTTGGTCGTGTGGGTGGCAGCCACTCGATATGTCCCTTCACGTCAATGTTTCTCTCTCTCTCTCTCCCTTCCCCTCTCTCCCTCCCGCCCTGTCTGTACAAAAAATGGAAGAATGTCCTTGGGTGAGGATAAAAAAAAAAAAAAAAAAAAAAAAGCTCATTTCACCGTAATTCAATCACTAGCAGAGGGAACTGGAATCGCCACGATGGACAAAGACTGACCCAGACTTACTAACACACAGACATGTTAGTCACCTTGCCAGAGGGATGGATATTAAATAAAATACAGGTTCTGTTAGCAAAGAAATACCTATGAATGTCAGGCAAATAAGCAACAGTGCAGACTGCTATATATTGAGAAGTGAGAGCAGGCGTTGGCAGACATTTTATAAGAGACAAATGAACATTTTCCTGTTGCCGACCAAAATTTCTGTGTCACAAGGATCCAATTCTGCCTCTGCAGCTGGAAAGCTGCCAAAGAGGATACATGACAAACAGATGTTCCTGGTTTACTCCCTGGGTCTCTACTTAGTCAACTAATGAATGAAAAGTTAAATACCAGAAGGACTGAACCCTGATGATTTGGCTCAGTGGTTAGGTTGTCAGCCCCAGGACTGAAGGGTCTCAGGTTTGATTCCCCATCAAGGGTACATACCTCATTTACAGTTGGATCCCTGGCCCCTGTTGGGGCCAGGAGGCAACCAAGGGATATGCGTGTTTGTCTCTCTCCCTCCCTCTCTCTAAAAATCAATGGGAAATTATCCTTGGCTGAGGACTAACAGCAACAAAAACAACACACATAAAACAGAAAGACTGGAACCAGGGCCCTGGGCCCTCATGCCGGCTGTCCCAACAGCAACCCAGGTCGTAACCTGAACCAAACACCAGGATCCCAGGCGTGCGAAACTTCGCCCTCACAGCCCCTCCGCCCACAGACCCGACCACGCGTCCCCACCAACCGGACACCCGGGCAGGACGCCCCCCGCCTGAGCATCACCCTCGCCGCCCAACGTCACTGCGCGGGACGCGAACTATGAAATCCCAACCTGAACCTCACCCCGCGATCACCCTGAATGCCTCCGGCATCTCTTACAAGCGGGGTGACCTGCAGGGCCCCATAACCTGACGGCAGGGACGAGGACGCTGTCTCTACAGACTCCTCCTCTGTGCACCGACCCCCAGGACACCCCAACCGCAGACAGCGGCGTCTGGTTCCCCTCAAGTCCCGTCCCCACAGGGTTCCCAGGAACTCCCTCCCCCTCCGACCCGGGGGTGATTCCCGGCTCCGCGCTGCACCACGTCCACACGTCACCCTGTGAGAAACTAAACTTCTACTGTGACGGAAAAACTTTTCGGGACCAAACCACGCACCGACCCGACTTTCCCCCCCAGACCCACCGGGAGAGCGCAGACGGGCTACTTCAGCGAATTGCTTCAACTTCTGCCCCGTCCCGCTCCGTCTACGGTGGCCGGGGAGGGTCTCAGGCGTGTGAAAAAGCGGAAGCACCGTTTCCGGCGCTCGGGGCAATATGTCCGCGCCCAGGGGGCCACCGTGGGGGCCGCCATGTTGGGAGCCCCTCCCGCGGGACAGAAGGCCGAGCTGGGCCTTATACATACATATACTGTATATCTATATATTCTTTTTTTACTGATTTTAGAGAGAGAGGAAAGGAGACGGAGAGAGAGAGAGAAACATGTAGGAGGAGGCCAGTTGATGTTTTCTCTCTAATCCATGTTTTTGTCTTTCTCCCTCTCCCTCGCTAACGTCAATAAAGGAAAACAAAATTAAAGAAAAACAAAGTTTCCCTCCGCTGGTGTCGCTCAGTGGTTAGAGCATCGCCCTGCTGACCAAAGGGTTGAGTGTTTAATTCCAGTCACGGGTAGGTCCCTGGGTTGCAGGTTCGATCCCCTGCCCAGTCCAGGTCGTGCAGGAGGCAACTAATCGATTACATCCATGTTTCCTTCTTTCTCTCCCTCCCTCCCTAAAAATCAATAGAAAAGTATCCTCAGGTGAGGATTAAAAATAAAAAGTAAATGGAGCCCTGGCCGGTTTGGCTCAGTGGTTGGAGCGTCGGCCTGCGGTCCAGAGAGACCCGGGTTCAGTTCCTGCTAAGGGCACGTACCTCGGTTGCAGTTTGTCCCCGGCCCTGGTTGATCATGCGGGTGGCAGCCACTCGATGTGTCCCTTCACATCGATGTTTCTCTCTCTCTCTCTCTCTCTCCCCCTCCCACTCTATCTGAACAAAAAATGGAAAAAAATGTCCTCAGGTGAGGATAAAAAAAAAAAAGTAAATGGAGATTTACAGGACATACAGGAAAAAAGGTACCAACAAATCATGGAATAAGAAAGTAAGAATTGCCTGGCTGGTGTGGCTCAGTGGACTGAGCATTGTTCCATGGACTGAGAGGTCCTGGTTCTATTCCAGGTCAGGGCACATGCCCAGGTTGTGGGTTTGATCCCAATAGGGGGCATGCAGGAGGCAGCAAATCGATGTTTCTCTCTCTCTAAAAAATCAATAAAAACATTTTTTTAAAAGAATTTAGATGAGAGGATCTTAATATAAATTGAACATAACTGAAGTTTTTCAAGTATACCCCACCTTAATGTATATCTTTTTTTTTTTTTGGTGGTATGTGCCCCTAGCGGGAACTGAACCTGGACTCTCTGGTCCACAGGTCGATGCTCAACTGCTGAGCCAAACTGGCTAGGGCTATCTTTCTTTTTTTAATCCTCACCTGAGGATATTTTTCTGTTTATCATTAGATAGACTGGGAGGGAGGGAGAGTGAGAGATAGAAAGAGAGGAAAACATCAACATAAGAGAGACACATTGACTGGTTGCCTCCTGCAGGACCCTGACCAGGGCCGGGGACGAACTGCAACCGAGGTATGTGCCCTTGGCCGGAATTGAACCCGGGTCTCATTGGTCCATAGGCTGATGCTCTAACCGAAGAGCCACACTGGCCAGGGCAATAGCCACTTCTTATTAATTACACACAGATATACATAAATTTCTTTTTCTTTTATCCTCACCCTAGGACATTTTCCCATTTTTTGTTCAGATAGAGTGGGGAGGGAGAGAGAGAGAAACATCGACGTGAAAGGGATACATTGAGTGGCTGCCACCCGCACGATCAACCAGGGCCGGGGACAAACTGCAACCGAGGTACATGCCCTTAGCGGGAACTGAACCCAGGTCTCTCTGGACCGCAGGCCAGCACTCCACCACTGAGTCAAACCGGCCAGGGCCATAAATATTTTTTTAAAAAATTTTCTTTATTGATTTTACAGAGAGAGGAAATGAGAGGGAGAGAGATAGAAACATTGATGAGACAGAACATTGACTGGCCACCTCTAGCATGCCCCTCACTAGGGATCAGGCCCACAACCTGGGCATGTGTCCTGACCGGGAATTGAACTGGCGACCTCTTGGTGTATGGGTTGACACTCAGCCACTGAGCCACACCTGCTGGACCACAAATATTTTATATTATGGAAATGTTTATTGAGAAATTAAAATAAAATTAGATTATACATTTTTCCAGTTATATTGATATATAGTTGAGAAAGATTAGGCCTACTTTTAATAAAGTTTTATTTTGGAAAAATTATAGATTGAAGTGATTCACTGAAGCAGCACTTCTGCTCTCTCCTGGTGGGTCAGGTCAGTGTATGGTTTTGTCCTTAAAATTTTTTCCATGGCTGGTTTAGCTCAGCGGTTAGAGCGTCAGCCCTCTGACCAATGAGTAGAAGGTTCGATTCCGGTCAAGGGCATGTACCTCAGTTGCAGTTCGTCCCCGGCCCTGGTCAGGGTCCTGCAAGAGGCAACCTGTCGATGTGGCTCTATCACACTGTTGTTTCTCTCTGTCTCTCTGTCTCTCCCTCCGTCCTACTCTCTCTGACAATAAATAGAAAAATATGCTCAGTTGATTAAAAAAAAAAAAAGTGTGTGTGTGTTTTGATAAAGATGACTCATTGACAACTCCTAACTTGTGGTATTGCAAAGAACCTAGTAGGTCCACTTCCACTGACATAAAAAAAAGTATTGAGGATGAAGTTACACAGTTGCATTTCCTGAAATAACCCAGTTGTGCTTCAGAACAAAACAGGTAGATGATAGGTAGACTGGTAAGATGAAAAGAACTCTATTCTCTTACAGTTTAGGTTATACTAAAGCATAACCGCACCTATTATTAAATCACAGTACATTTAGGTGTTTGAGTTAAGGTATAGACTTGAGAGAGCCAACTAACTGATCTGCATCAAAATGGAGAACAATGTAATTTTTTATGGGTAGGTCCCGGTCAAGATAGAGAAGAGAGCAAGACCAGCAGTTGGGACATTGCATAGATAGAGGGATCCAAGAGGCCTCACACACACACGACCCAGAGGAGCTTGGGAGGGAAAACAATTATTATCAAATAATATTAAATTGTTTGCCCTAGAATGCCCTGGTACCTCTCTCTCTGTGTCATTCTTACAATATCTTCAAAAAAGGCCACATGCATCACTGGGATTTTTCTGTGAAAGTAAATTCTTTAGATAATATTCCCTGAGGGCTTGAGTTTTGTGCCTGTGCTTATATTCAATGACCTGCTCCCCAGATTCATAAATATTGAACCCCACATCCCTCAGTGACCTCTCTGAACACCCATAACGCCCCACGACTCCATCCCTGTACCCTAGTACCTCATCCTTGATTCCACAACCTCCACATTATGAATACCCCATCACTAACCTCAGGGCTCCCCATGACAGCCCTAGAAGGCCCACACAGCCTTCATGATCTGTGACCTCACAAACCCTCAACACTGATCCCCAGGCCCCTGGTTTTGAACCCACAGAATCACCATGCCATAGCTGACTCCACGTTCCCTCCATTGCTAACCGATACACTTAACAATGAACAGCTTCACAGATTCCCCTGATCACATTCTACAGATCCTGCTTACTGATTACATAAACTGCCCGTCAACCCAATACACCCCCTTCATTGACCCCCAGGACCCACACCATTGACACGAACAGTCCTCCTCACAGACATCTAGCACTGAGTCCCAAGCAATCTCCTCTTAACCGGGTCCCCTTGTGACCTCGCTCCAACAGCCACTGGTTTCCACTCAGTGCTATCCAGGCGGGTTGCTTGGCAATACCCCTCCCCCACCCCCGCACTCCTCCACTGCGCAGACTCAGCAGCACCTCTGGTCAGGTAATAGCTGCCGGTCACCTGAGGAACCTCCAGGAACCTGGATTCTGGGCCTTTGGCATTTGGAGGTCAAATACAGGGACCCCCGTGGGCACCGGACATTTCCACAGGTGTGGGGTAGAGAGGAGGCGGCCTCTCCCTCTAAACTTCTCAGCTCTGAGAGCGCCATTGCCCTAGGTGCCAGCAACAGGGCGGCACAGGTGCCAACCTGAGAACGCAGCACCTCCTCTGCCCAGCGTAGAGGGACCAGGACTCCAGTGCGTTCCTGTCGCCTTGGCACCTGTCTCGCCCCACTAAGGGCACATACCTCGGTTGCAATTTGTTCCCGGCCCCAGTTGGGGGCATGTGGGTGGCAACCACTTGGTGTGTCTCTCTCACATCGATGTTTCTCTCCCTCCCTCTCTCCTTCCCGCTCTATCTGCAGATAAATGCAAAAATGTCCTCGAATGAGGATTAAAAAAACAAAAACAGCCCTGGCCGGTTTGGCTCAGCGGTTAGAGCGTCGGCCTGCAGTCCTGAGAGACCCGGGTTCGGTTCCCGCTAAGGGCATGTACCTCGGTTGCAGTTTGTCCCCGGCCCTGGTTGGTCGTGTGGGTGGCAGCCACTCGATGTGTCCCTTCACGTCGATGTTTCTCTCTCTCTCTCATCATCTCTCTCCCTCCCACTCTGTCTGAACAAAAAATGGAAAAATGTCCTCGGGTGAGGATAAAAAAAACAACAAAACAAACAAACAAACAAAAAAAAGACATGACTCATGACTGAAAGCTTTACCACATTCACTGCATCCATAGGGCTCTTCTCCACTATGACTTCGCTGACATATAAGATTACCCTTCTGGAAGAAGTCTTTTGCACATTCACTGTATACATAGGGATTCTCTCCTGTGTGTTTGCTGATGGATAATGAGCTGAGAATTCCTGCAGAATGTCTTCCCACACTCACTGCATCCATGAGGTCTTATTCTTCTTTCAGTTTGCTGATGCATAGTGAGCTCTGCTTTCCCACAGAAGGCTTTACCACATTTAAGACATGTATATGCTTCTTTCCTGTGTGAGTTCTTTCAAGTACATTGAGGTGAAACCTCCTGGAGAAATTTTCCCCACACACTACATCTATGGGTCTTTTTTCCTGCATGAGTTATCTGATGTTCAGTAAGCAGAGATTTTCTGAGACAGATTTTACCACATTCAATACATTCAGAATATCTTTTTCAGTTCGATGTATAATGAGTTGTGAACGGGTGCTGATGATGTTTCCCTATTTATTGCATTTAATTCCAGTGTAACATTTTTCATGCTTAGTACGAAGAAACAAATTCCCATGTCTATTAAACATGTTAGGATTCTTCACTACACAGCTTTCATTCCAGTTAAGTAAATAAATCTCCTAATGATTTCTTCTCATTGCACACATCAGCTTCAATGGAATTGCTCCTGTTGCCCTAGAAAAAGGGCACCTGCCTTACCAGAATATACACATGTGCAAATATCAAAATAGAAAGTTTTACAGAGCAAAGTTGTGCAGTCCACATAAGGGGTGCACCTCGAGGGCTCTTAATCACGGCGCCCCACAGTAGCACACACTCGGCAACAAACCCTGACAGTCCAACCCTGGTCACCAACGTCTTCACAAACTTGGTAACACTGAGCGCCCAAAGGGCAGATCACTAAAGCCAAGATTCCCCAGCGACTAGTCCCCCAAAAGGCCCTTCTTTCGCCTCCCAGGTCCCCAGTTCGCAGCTCCACACAGAACCCGACCCACCTGATGCTCAGCTTCTCAAGACTCCAGGCAGCTTCCAAGGGTTCAGCTCCCAAGTTGATTCCCATCCTGGTCCGCTAAGGCTGAAGCCCAGCTGTTGCCAGGGACGCTTCTGGACGTTCCAGTTCCAACCTGGTCGTGGGCGTGGTTCTGTGACGTGGCCACGCCCACCTGGTCCAGACCCAGCGCTCAACTTGGCTTCCGTGGCTCTGCAGTAGCAAGAAACTGAAGTGACCTTTTGGTCGCCTCTTAGTCTCTTTGGGAATCAAGAACACTGTGCCGAATAAGTTTTCGGAGGCCAACGTGGAGCGATTGGTATTCTATGTAGGTTTGGGAGAAAAACAGGAGGATGGAAACGGCCCTGTGCCCTCAGCCATCTTCCTGGAGCAGAACCCCGGGAGCTAATGTCTTGAGCAGCCTTTGAACAAAGGACGAAGTTGGTGGAGCCCAGACGTTAGAGGCAGCAGTCAGACTTGGGAGAGGACACTGGAAGGCTTGAAGTCCCGAGGAGATTTGGCAATGGGGTGGAACGAGGCTGGGGCCGAGTGCGGCCAGTGTGGGGTGGCCTTCATCAGACACCTGTTGTAGGGGCGGAACCAAAGCTGAATGCAGGGCGGTGTAAACCAGGCCCACAGGCTTCACTGTAAAAGTAACTGAACATGACCCAGTGTATGAGAGAGGAAAGAGAGAGTCCTGCCTGGCCAGGACCAATAACGATACTTATATTAATTGCCTGTTGGACAGGCACTGTTATTTTTCTTCAGGCACTTTTTAACACTAGCTCTGCCGGTGTGGCCCAGTGGTGAGCGTGGACCCATGCACCAAGAGGTCACCGGTTCAATTCCTGATCAGGGCACATGCCCAGGTCCCCAGTGGGGGGCATGCAGGAGGCAGCCAGTCAATGTTCTCTCTCACCGATGTTTCCATCTCTCTCCCCATCTCTTCCTTTCTAAAATCAATAAAGAAAAAAAATTTTAAATTAAAACTACATCTACTTCTTACAACAAACCTGAGGCAGATAATATTTTTAAATGTTTTTATTGATTTTAGAGAGAGGGAGAGGGAGGGGGAGTGAAACAGAAGCATCAATCAGCTGCCTCCCAAATGCCTCCTCCTGGAGATGGAGTGCAGAAACCTGAGCATGTGCACTAATCGGAATTTGAACCTGGGACCTCTCCATGAATAGAGTCCACACTCAACCAACTGAACTACACTGGCCAGGGTGAAGCAGATAATATTCTAAAGATACACAATACATAGGTGTGTTAAAGAAAAAAAAAAGCATAAAGCTTAGGATTCAAATCAGGCAGTGTGACTTCAGGACCCACTCCTAAACATTATTCAAGGTGAAGGGTGGACTTTATTAGAACCATGGAGATCCTGGGCGTGGTAGCAGGCACAGGTGTGCACTAGGCTGCCTTCACCTAGAGTTGTCAAGCATGGCACATTTCCATTTCTTTTCCTAAGAGTAAGACTCACTGTGTATAACTGGAATAATACAGCCTCATGAGATCAAGAGAAAGAACTGGATAAAGGAGAAAGCAAAGAACCCACTTCCAGGGCAATGGGGAGGAATGAGGGAGATAGTAGTCCCACGTCTCAATTCAGCAGGTCCCAAAGGAGCTGTGATCCTTATCACAGGTGACAGGCTACATTTATGGATTAATCTCCCAAACATTCCAAATCAATGTCACCTCCTACTTCCTATACTCCCCACCGTTCTTAGAGACTAAGGTTCTCATTTTGTGTTTTGTCCTATTTATTCTAGGAACCATTTATCTTTTCTGTTTTCCTTATAATCAGTTTATAAGTCTCTCTGATCCCACACGAAAACAGTTTTGGGTGACAATTCTATTCTTTAAAACTATTTCCCATCAGTGACAAAATACATTTTGATGAGACCGTTAGTTCATTCATTCACTTTCCGAATCTATATGTAATTAGGGTTTTATTTTTTTAATGCATTGGGAAATGTAAAACCATGGAATCTAGTCCTCACCAATTTGATGTTCTGGTACAATGGAAATGATAGTAATTTCTCTAATGGTCTCAGTTTAGCTCACTGTGCTGTATCCACTTACATGATTGTTGAGCATGTAAAATACGACTAGTGTAAAACGAGAACTGATTTTTTTATTCATTGGTGTTCAATTATTTTAAATAATTAAAATTTAAATAAAGCCACTAAAATTAGGAAATTTTTAATCTGTGGAGAAAAGTAATAGGCCACTAAAGAGTCCCCCCATCAATCCCTCAAATAATATGCTCCTTCAGTAATAAATTGTCATATCCCATTGAATCAAATACTCCACGTCTATTTCAGCTAACATTTACATCCTCTCACTAGAGTAGCTCGAGTATAGAGCTACCACTTAAAGATAATACAACTACCTCAATGCTCCCTCCCGGAAACCATGGGATTCTGTTGTGATCACCACTGTAGCCTTAGCTCCTGGAAAAGAACCAGGTGTAAAGGCAGTATTTAATAAAAACTTGATATAAATGAATGGACTCAGTCTGAACCTGTTGTTTCATAAACCCCTCTGCATAATATAAACTTCTAAGACTTTATGGCACACATCCAAGTTTTCAATGAACTCTTCACCTTGGCCTAGGGAAAGTGAATTGATATATACATGTCCCATATCCCACCAATCCAGTATTAGCTCCTAGTTTTTTACTCGTAACATTCCAGATAAGATGTTTTATGTTAAAAACAAAAAAACTCACCCTGGTTGGTTTTTTGCTCAGTGGGTAGTGTCAGCCCTCGGACCAAAGGATCTCATCTCAGGTTTGATTCCCGGCCAAGGGCACATGCCTGGGTTGCAGGTTCAATCCCTAGTCCAGTCGGGGTTGTGTAGGAGGCAACCAATAAATAGATGTGTCTCTCACATCGAGTTTATCTCGTTCTCTCTCCCTTCTACACTATCCAAAAATCAATAGAAAAATATCCTTGGTGAGAATTAACAAAACAACAACAACAACAACAACAACAAAACCAGTTGGTCTGGCTAGTTTGGCTCAGCGGTAAGAGCATCGGCCTGCGGACTGGAGAGACCCAGGTTGGGTACTCGGTTGTGGTTTGTCCCTGGCCCCAGTTGGGGTCATGTGGGTGGCAATCACTCAATGTGTCTCTCTCATGTCGATGTTTCTCTCTTCCTCCCTCTCTCCCTCACGCTCTGTCTGAAGATAAATGTAAAAATGTCCTCAAGTAAGGATAAAAACAAAAACAAAAACTAAAAAAACAAAAACCACTCTTATTGGCCCACACAACTTCTTTCATTCATTTAATTGACACAACAGACCAATTGATGTATGTGTTTGTATTAATATCAGATTATGCCTATGTATCAATACATATATTTAATAGAATGAGAATATCATGACTTCCCAGTTTCAGTATTTATACATTTCTCTCAGGATATAATTTTCAACAATAATCTGATCTTTGCACATAGAATATCTTTGAGCTTTTTCTATTGGTTTCCTGTGACAAAAAATAACACATAATTGACCACTGAAGGTGAGACCACACTCACTGTATTCATAAGGTTTCTGTCCTGTGCAAATCCTCCTGAGAGCGCACATCTGGCCACAGGCTGGCCCACTATGACCACATTCCTGTTTGCTAGGAGCCCACTGATATTTAATGCTGTCTGAGGGGCCACAGAAGGCACCTGCACAGACACCGTATTAACAAGGTTTTTCTGCTGCAGGACAACACTGGTCTGGGATGAGCAGGGACTCTCTGAGACAGAATGTACCACCTTGACTGAGTGAATTTTCTGATGTTCATTGAGGACTGACTTTGCTCTGAAGGCTTTCCCACATTCATTGCAACCATAGGGTCTCTCCCCTGTATGAATTCTCTGATGTACAACAAGCTGTGGCTTCCCGATAAAGGCTTTTCCACAGTCACTGCATTCAAAGGGTTTTTCTCCTGTGTGAATTCTTTCATGTTTAATGAGACCTGTCTTTTGGGAACAGGATTTTCCACATTCACTGCACACAAATGGTGTCTTTCCCGTGTGAAATCTCTGATGTGTCGTGAGAGATGTCTTTTGGCTGAAGCCTTTTCCACATTCACTGCATATATAAGGTTTCTCACCTGTGTGAGTTCGTAGATGTACCATGAGATTGCCCTTCTGGATAAAGCGTTTCCCACAGTCACTGCATACAAAGGGTTTCTCTCCTGTATGTATTTTGTAATGTATATTGAGCCGTGACTTCTTGAGAAAGGCTTTGCCACACTCTGTGCATTCATGAGGTTTCTCTCCTGTATGCGATCTCCGGTGTTCATTCAGTGTGACCTTTCTGGAGAAGGCCTTCCCACACAGACTACACTGATGAGGCTTCTCTCCTGTATGAAGATTCTGGTGATCACTAAGCAAACACTTCTTCACAAAGGCTTTCCCACATTCACTGCACACATGCCGTTTTCTCATTTTATGAGGTTTCTGATGCTTGATGAGTTGGGACTTGGTGTGAATGAGTTTTTGGCTTTCTGGGAATTTAATTCCAGTCTGGAATTGCTTACTCTTAACATGGAAAAAAGATTTTTCATCTCCAGGAAATTCACCAGGCTTCTTGATTTTATAGCTTCTGTTCTGTTTCAGTAAAGATAAATTTGATTTCATACTTTCTTCATGTAAGTCAAACATATGACTTTGCCGTAACAGAAAGTGAGTTTTACTCCAATGGACACAATTTTCTAACATGTGATTTTTGTGCCGTTGTTCTAGGCTATTCTCCATGCTTTCATTCTGTACATGCTCCAGCAGATGGTCATCAAGTTTCCAGATTTCTAGGAAAGAAAGGTAATGACAAATATACCTTGATGTGTGGTGTCATTTTTAGTAAAGACCCTGTGATATGACTATAACTAATATTCCATGTTTGATATTCCTTGTACATTGGTACAAGAAAGAAAAAAAAAAAGAAGAAACACAAACTTGGCTACTTTCTGAATACTCGCCTTTCCAAACATGCAGACTGTAAAACACAATTTACTATAGCATCAGACCCCAGGTGGGAGGGCCACGTCATCCAAATGGAGAGGGACAGGCTCACTCCTTCCACATTCCTCACTGATGACTAATGTTTACCAACGTGGCCTTAGGCTGGGGTCACGGACACACACACACACACACACACACACAATCCTCATGTTCATAGAGCCTACACTGCATTTTGGTGATTTTACAGGGCAAAGACACACGTAAGACACAGCTGCAGGCTGTGAAGACGGGTGGGAAGGTGCAATGGAGATGGACAGAAGGGGAGGAAATCAGGCTACATTTTGGAAGAAGCCAGAATTCACTGTGGATTCACTATCATGGTAGGCATGGCAGGAGTAAGATTATGACATGGTGGAGAGCTTCAAGCACTTCTGACTTAAAACTACATCTCACAGAGGTGTTACCATTCCCAACGACGTAATTCAGCCCCAGTTTTTCCTGTTCCATTATGCTAACTTAATTTCATTATATAACTCTTCATCCTGTATACATAGTATTTATTTTTATTTTTATTGATTTGATGTCTCCTCCTTTTAGAATGAGAGCTCTTGGTCTGTTTGTATGCCTCTCCTCACTGTTGTTATTCTCCAGCACACAGCAGGCTATCAAAAGTACTTTATAAAAAGATGAATCGCCCTGGCCAGTTTGGCTCAGTGGTTAGAGCGTTGGCCTGCAGTCTGGAGAGACCTGGGTTCGGTTCCTGCTGAGGGCATGTACTGTTTGTCCCTGGCCCTGGTTGGGTCGTTTGGGTGGTGACCACTCAATGTGTCCCTTTCACGTCGATGTTTCTCTCTCTCTCTCTCCCTCCCACTCTATCTGAACAAACTATCGAAAAATGTCCTCGGGTAAGTATGAACAAAAAAAAAAAGAATCAAGGAACCTATCCCATGTATGGGACACAGTGCAGAGTTTAGGAGAGAAGATGGAAATCTCTGAATGAGCAATATATATGGTATCACAGAAATTACTGAAGAATTTCAGGTCATGTGAGAGGTAAAAATAGTTAATTCAGACATAATGTCAGAATATAATGGGAGGAAAAATGAAACATTTCAGGAGGTAAATACAGTTGTAATATCTATGATAAACTTTAAGAAAGTTCAGAATTAATAAATAGACAAAGGAATTAATCTGAAGTAGGCAAGAGTATGGTGTGATTTCGGCCGGAACAGAGAATGTACGCAGCTAGTTAAAACACATCATGGACAGCAGACTGCTTTAAGAAGAGGGCTCTGTGGGTAGGGAACAACTGAGGTGATGGCTGGATGGCCAGGAGGGCAGATGCACAGGAGTGAAGGAAAACCTAAGCTTACAGGGTTTCAGGGAAGGGCAATGATTCTAGGTCCTGGCAGTGATTGGGAGCTCAGGAGACTGGCCATTGAGATGAATAAACTCTACAGAATAGAGTCTGGTGGATCGCACTGGGGAGATTGCAATTTGAGAGACTCATGCAGGGAACAGAAAAAGGTTATCTAATTATAATGAAAAAAAAAAAAAGGGTTAGTGGTTCAGATGAGAAAATTGGAACCAGAACTTCTGAAGACCCTCAGAGGGAAGAACAGGTGAAGCTAAAAGAAAAAGAAAAGCAAGATAGTGAAAACCAGTTTACTTTGGGGTTGCGGCTTCCAAGATGGGGTGGCTGTTAGGAAGGGAGATCAACATCACCAGGGGCAGAAAAAACCACTGGTCAGAAAGTAGTTTTTTCTTTGGAGGGAGGCCTTGGATGGTGGAGTTTCATATGCAAAAGGGGTAAACAAATATGAAAAATAAAGGAAAGATAGGAGACGTCTAAAAAAAGAACCATACAAACAAAAACTCAAAGTGCACATAAAATAAAGAGCAGTCACACCCAGAAGAGAGAAAGGGATCTATCTCTACACTCCTACAAAGCGAAAGGGGTCTCTCACTGGGAGACACGTGCGTGGAGGGACTGCTCACCTATCCTCAAACCCCATCACCTCTGAGCCACTTCTCTGAACGACTAGAATGTGATTTCACAGCCGGCCCCTCGCTGGTTCTCTCACTCACCTGAACGGGTTCGACCGTGGATTTCACCTGCCATTGTCCTCGGTGCTTCTCCGTGATCCAGCTTGGAGAGGGTGTCTGGTTTGCTGGCTTCGTAACCTGTTCCCGGGGAATGACAGAAGCAAGACTTAGACACACAGACTAGGACTGGGGTCTGTGAAGACAGCGCAATGCTATATTTAAAGACCAAACAATTTTTACACTTGCACAGCCAAAGCTTTTCTCTCAGGGGAAGGGAGAATATACCTGTCAGGGGCCAGAGAACTAAGATTCATCTACCACTTCAGCAAACCACAGACATGCCAGAGCTTTCAGAAGCTGAGAATGGAAAGACCACTGACTGGGACCTTCTGAGTGACACAGGGAGCTGTCCTCACCCAATGACACCAGGTTGCTGTAGTTCTCCAACATCACGTCCCTGTACAGGTCCTTCTGATCGGGGTCCAGGAGCTGCCACTCCTCCCAGGTGAAGTCCACGGCCACATCGTGAAATGTCAGGGATTCCTGTAACAACTCCATGCTGTTTATTGGGTGATGCCCTTTAGAGGACATGGAAGAAATGCTAGTTTTTTCTGTTCATTTTCACTTTATAGGCTGCACCTCTATAACGAGTGGGGATTTATTTTAATATATAGTTGAATAATCACATGCCTAGTAAAATGCACTGTGGGGCAAAAGTAGGTTGACACTTTTCCAATGGAAAATAACACAAAAATTAATAAACTATGTAAGAATCAACTCTGTTTCATGTACTCACAATTGTAAAACTACTTTGGCTCCACCTTGCATTTTATAATTGAGCAATCATCCATGTGTTCATCCCATTTGGAGATTTTCTACTATGAAGAAGTTAAATGTTCTCGTTAACCTAAAAATACCACATTCATATATTTTAGAGACAAAAGATATATGTATATATGTATACTTTTCAGATTAAGAAACATGGTTTTTTTGTAGGCCTCTAGAAATTCATTAATGAAGATAGCAAAAGATAAAACAAATCCTGTCACCTGAGCCTGCGGCATTTTCTTCTGTCCTCTGAAAAGAGCTGGCAACAGGTAGGCTCTGTGTTGGTGTGTTCTGGGTCTGCTCTAAATTTCCGTTCAGAAATTTGTCTTTAGTCAGTTGTGTCCCAGAAATGCTGATACCCAACTCTGCAACTTCTTCCTGCTTCACATGATTCTATTGCTCCTGAGGAGTTAGAACCCGTAGGCTGAGGAGAATATTCAAGGAGGGGTACATTTCCTCTGGACCCGATGCTGCAGTGCTCCTGACCCCAATGCTCACAGTGTCGCTGCTGTCCCTCTGCCTGGTCGAAGCCTTAGCTTCCACATGTGGTGGAGATATTCCTTTATTCTCTGGAGTTAAGTGGAGTGACTGAAAGAACATGAGGGAAATGACATTGTAGAGGCAAACTAATTTTTCTTCTAGGTTCTTTGACTGGTCTAATAATAAAATTCATGTAACAGAGATTAATAGGACAAAAACAATCAATAAGGTTAATAACATGTATACCTCCTGTATACATGGAAGTAACTCAGAAATACAGAGTACTGGTCAAAATGACAAATGCCATTACCTGAAAAACCACCTTCACCTAAATTCAGAAGATGTTGGGGGTGGAGTCAGTTAGAGGTTACCAGGAAAAGCACCCTAAAGAAGCTTGAGGTTGTTGTGCAGATATAAATCCTGCTTCCTCCACTGAGAGTTAAGGCGGGATGGGTAGAGTGAAGGACCACCCTTACAGACTATCTTGCCCTAACAAATATAAATGTCCTTTACAAGGGGTAACTTCTAGCTTCTCCCAGGGATACAGTCTCTTCAAATTAACCAGCCTAAAATAACCAATATCCCAAAGAATTGTATTTTAGGCTGGGAAAATGCTCCCCTTCATACTCATGGAATTGTGTATTTAAAAGAGGAAAATCTGCCCGGCCATTGTGGCTCAGTGGTTGAGCATGGACCTATGCACCAAGAGGTCACCGGTTAGATTCCTGGTCAGGGCACACGCCCAGGTTGTGGTGGCATGCAGGAGGTGGCCAGTGGATGTTCTCTCTCATCAATGCTTCTATCTCTCCCTCTCCCTTCTCTCTCTAAAACCAATAAAGAAAAAAAAATCTTTAAGTAAAGGAAAAATCTGTCTCAGAAATGACAGATTTGGGCATATATAATTGGCTAGAACTACACAATGTAACTAAGCTCATTTTAGAGTAATTCCATCACTCCAGTGGGAACTGGAACCACCACGGTGGACTAAGACGGACCTGGACTTACTAATACACCAGCATTGGGTCACCTCGCCAGAGGGACGGACAATAACATAAAGTGGACTTTCTGTTAGCAAAGAAAACGTTGGAATGTAAGTCAGGCAAATAAACAACAGGGCCCGCTGCTACATAGTAAGAGGCGAGAGCAGAAGTTGGCAAACATCCTCTGAAAGAGACACGGGAACATTCTCCCAGGTGCTGACCAAGACGTCCGTGTCACAACGACCCCCTTCTGCCTTTGCAGCACGAAAGCTGCCACACAGGTTGCAGGACAGATGGGCGTTGCTGGCTTAGTCCCTGGGTCTCTGGTGAGTCACATGCTGGATGAAAGGTTACAACCAGAGGATTAGAACCAGTGCCCTGGGCCCTCATGCCGGCTGTCCCAACAGCAACCCAGGTCGTAACCTGAACCAAACACCGGGGCCCCGGGCGTCCGAAACTTCGCCCTCACAGCCCCTCCGCCCACAGACCCGACCACACGTCCCCACCAACCGGACACCCGCGCCGCCCAACATCACTGCGCGGGTCGCGAACTATGAAATCCCAACCTGAACCTCACCCCGCGATCACCCTGAATGCCCCCTGCATCCCTTACAAGCGGGGTGACCTGCAGGGCCCCATAACCTGACTCTGTCTCTACAGACGCTTATTCTGTGCACCGACCCCAGGACACCCCAACCAGACAGCGGCGTCTGGTTCCCCTCAAATCCCGTCCCCACAGGGTTCCGACGAACTCCCTCCCCCCGGGCGCTTCTCCCCTCCCCCTCCGCCCCGGCGGTGATTCCCGGCTCCGCGCTGCGCCACGTCCACGCGTCACCCCGCGAGAAACCAAACTTCCACTGTGACGAGTCTCCGTCTGGGACAGAAGCACACTGACCTGGGTTTTCCCCCAGACCCACAGGAGAGCGGACGCGGTATTTCCGCGAACCGCTTCAACTTCTGCACCGGTCCCGCTCGCTCCACGGTGGCCGAGGAGGACCTCAGCCGACTGAGGAAACGGGCACCGCGGTCCGGTGTGCAGGGCAGCATGGCCGCGCCCGGCGCCGGCCTGGGGGCCGCCATGCGGGGACACGGGCCTGCCGTACAGGAGGCGGAGCGGGGCTGCAGGGCCTGCAGGCCGGGAGGGCGGGGAGGTGAGAGGCTACGGAAATGATCTCGTTTTCTGGTACTTAGACTCTGAGGAAAAATGGTACATTTTCGGAGCTTCACGGTGCAAGCTAGGTCGCTTTCAAGGGGCTGGGCAGAGAAGTGCCACCACTGTGGGGCCTATTCTCCATAGGCCAAAAAAAAAAAAAAAAGTTTCCAAAGGCAGGATCGGGACTGCAGGTGTCAGCATAGCAGCGTAGAAGGCACTCCTGGAAAGGGACAACCTAATCCATCTGACAAATGGACACCTAGGGATAGTTGTGGCTGGGAAATAGTTGGCCGGAAGCATTTGTTTTCTTTATTTTTTATTTTTTGCTTTATTGATTAGAGGAGTGGGAGAGGGGGAGGGGGGAAGAAAGAAAGGAAGAAAAAGGAAGGAAGGGAAGGGAAGGAAAGAAAGAAAGGAAGAAAGGAAGGAAGGAAAAGAAAGAGAGAGAGAGAAAGAGAAAGAGAGGAAGAAAGAGAAACAGAGAGAGAGAGAGAAAGAAGAAAGAAAGAAGAAAGAGAGAAGAAAGAAAGAAAAGAAAAGAAAAGAAAAAAAAGAAAAGAAAAGAAAGGAAAAGAAAGGAAAAGAAAAGACAGAAAAGAAAAGAAAAGAAAGAAAGCAAGCATCGATGAGGGAGAACATAGACTAGCCACCTCCCGCATGCCCCTACTGGGGATCCTGCCTACAACCTGGGCATGTGTCCTGACTGAAAATTCAACCAACAGCCTCTTGGTGCATAGGTCAGTGCTCAACCACTGAGCCACACTGGCTGGACCAGAAGCATTTTTTAAGAGCAAAAATCCTGCCCTGGCCAGTTTGGCTCAGCGGTTAAAGCGCTGACCTACAGTCCAGAGAGACCCGGGTTTGGTTCCCGCTAAGGGCACGTAGCTAGATCGCAGTTTGTCCCTGGCCCTGGTTGGGTCGTGCAGGTGGCAGCCACTCAATGTGTCCCTTTCAGTTAGATTTTTCTCTGTCTCTCTCCCTCTCTCCCCCTCCTACTCTATCTGAACAAAAAATGGAAAAAATGTCCTCGGGTGAGGATTAAAAAAAAGAGAGAGAGAGAGATCACTGTCTCCTAGAAACAAGAAAGCAATCCTCAACAGGCACCAATCTGCTGATGCCTTGATCTGGTACTTCCCAGGTTACAGAACCATAGGAAATAAAATTCTGCTTTTATAACCCACCCAAGCCTTGCCTTTTTCTTATAACAACCAGAACAAGCTAAGACAATGTCCATTTCATGAGTGTAGATACTGACATCCTCTTACTACATTAGCTGGTGTGCATGGGGGCAACTTAGAGATAAGACAACCCAACCACCTCAATGCTCTCTTCAGGACATCATGACCTTCTTCTCTTTTGATTCCCACTCCATCTTCAGCACCTGGAAGAGAACCAGGTACAAAGGAAGTATTTGACCAAAACACAGTATAAATAAATGAATCAGCTTAAGCTAAGGCTGCTGTTTCACAAGTCCCTCTAGATAACACAAACTTCTGAGAGTTTATGGTAGATATGCTCCTTTTGAATCAACCCTTCACCCTGGCCTGGGGAAACTGAACTGATAAATACATGCAATATCCCACCAATCCAGTACTAGCCCTTCAGGGGTTTTTACTCACCATCACTTCAGATACAAATTAGGTTTATGTTTTAAAAATTCACTTATTGCCTCCACATAGCTTCTTTTATTTCTTTAATTGACACAACAGACCCACTGAGGTCTGTGTTTGGGTTAACACCAGAGTATGCCTTAGTGTCAATGCATACATTTAATAGGATGAGAATATCATGACTTCCCAGTTTCAGCATTTATACAATTTTTCTCAGGATGTACTTTTCACCAATAATCTGAACTAGATATTTTTGAGCAAATCTTTGCACATAGAATGTCTCCTATTGGTTTCCTGTGACATAAAACAACATATAATTGATCACTGAAGGCGAGACCACACTCGCTGCATTCATAAGGTTTCTGACCTGTGCAAACCCTCCTGAGGGTGCACATCTGGCCACAGGCTGGCCCACAATGACCACATTCCTGTTTGCTAGGAGCCCACTGATGTTTAATGCTGTCTGAGGGGCTACAGAAGGCACCTGCATCGTAACCGCATTAACAGCGTTTTTCTCCTGCAGGACAACACTGGTCTGGGATGAGCTGGGACTCTCTGTGAGAGAATTTTCCACCTTGACTGAATCACCACATTTTTCTCTTGTGTGTATTCTTTTATGTTTCACAAGGCAAGACATGTAGGCAAAAGCTTTCCCACACTCGTTGCAGGTATAGGGTCTCTCTCCTGTATGAGTTCTTTGATGGACAATGAGCTTCTGCTTTGTGGTAAAGGCTTTCCCACAGTCAGTGCATTCAAAGGGTTTCTCTCCTGTGTGAATTCTCTGATGTTTAATGAGACCTGATTTCTGGGAACAGGATTTTCCACACTCACTGCACACAAAAGGCGTCTTTCCTGTGTGAAATCTCTGATGTGCTATGAGGCATGTCTTCTGAATGAAGCCTTTTCCACATTCACTGCATATATAGGGTTTCTCACCTGTGTGAATTCGCCGATGTACAATGAGATTGCCCTTCTGGATAAAGCCTTTCCCACAGTCACTGCATATAAAGGGTTTCTCTCCTGTATGTGTTTTCTGATGTATATTGAGCCGTGATTTCTTGAGAAAGGCTTTGCCACATTCAGAGCATTCATAAGGTTTCTCTCCTGTGTGTGTTCTCTGGTGCTCAGTGAGCATGAACTTTCTGGAGAAGCCTTTCCCACACACACTACATTGATGGGGCTTCTCACCGGTATGAATGATCTGATGATCAGTGAGCCAAGACTTCTTCATGAAGGCTTTCCCACATTCACTGCACACATGAGCTTTCTCTCTTTTCTGAGGTTTCTGATGTTTGATACGTTGGGACTTAGTGCTGCTGAGTTTTCGGCTTTCGTGGAATTTTATTTCAGCCTGAATTTGTTCACTGTTAGTATGGAGAAAATATTTCCCATCTTCAGAAAGCTCAGTGGGCATCCTGATTTGACAGCTTCTGCTCTGCTTAAGTAAAGATAAAGTTGATTTCATACTTTTGCCATGTGAGTCAAACATATGGTTTTGTTGTAACAGAGAATGGGCTGTACTCTGATAGACAGTGTTTTCAATCATGTCACAGTTGTGCCATTGTTCTAGGCTCTCATTTTGTAAGTGTTCTGGCAGCTGATCAAGTCTCCATATTTCTAGGAAAGAAAAGCACAATGAAGTAACTCATCCAGCAACTTGAATTGGAAGCAAGGTAATAAAAGAAATATATATATATATACCCTGACCTGGCCGGTTTGGCTCAGTAGTTAGAACGTTGGCCCACAGACCAGAGACTCCTGGGTTCGGTTCCCGCTAAGGGCACATACTTCGGTTGCAGTTTGTCCCCGGCCCCAGTTGAGTGGCAAACAGTTGATGTGTCTCTCTCACACCGATGTTTCTCTCTCTCTCTTCCCCCCTCCCTCCCACCCTCCTTCCCACTCTATCTGAAGATAAATGCAGAAAATGTCCTCTGGTGAGGATTAAAAATAAATATATATATTATATGCCCTGATATGTCGTTTTAGCGATGACCTTGAGATGTGAGTATAAACAAAACTCCATGTTCAATGTTACTTGCACATGGAAAACACAGTAATATAAACAAACCACAGGTCAAAGTTGACTGTAAAAATAGGTTCCATAATCACTATGATGAAATACAGATTTGGCTGCTTTCTAAGGTCTTGACAATGCAGACTCTAAAATGCAGCCAATTTATGGTATCAGCAGACACACAGAAAGGGCCACCTCGCCCTGGCCGGTTTGGCTCGGCAGTTAGAGCATTGGCCTATGGTCCAGAGAGACCCAGGCTCGGTTCCCACTAAGGGCATGTACCTCAGTTGCAGTTTGTCTCCGGCCCTGGTTGGGTCATGCAGGTGGCAACCACTCAGTGTGTCCCTTTCACGTCGATGTTTTCCTCTCTCCCTTTCCCTCCAACTCTATCTGAAGAAAACATAAAAAAATGTCCTCGGGTGTGGATAAAAAAACAAACAAAAAATAAATAAATAAAAATAAAAGAGCTCTCCCTTTAAAAAAAAAAATACCCTCATCTGCACGCCATAAGCATCTCCAAATCTGACTGACACTCATACCTCCACCTGAACCAAAGCCACATGTCCTCCATCATTGTTTTGCAATAGACTCCTCCATAGCGTCCCTCCCTGACCCCCGCCTGCCACTGTCTACTTTCTACACATTCATCAGAGGGAATCTTTGAAAAGATAAATTATTGCTCGACCAGTGTAGCTCAATGGATTGAGCAGCCTCCCTTGTACCAAGAGGTCACTGGTTCTGTTCCTAGTCAGGCGCATGCCTGGGTTGCAGATTCGATCCCCACCCAGTACGGGGCGTGCAACAGGCAGCCGACTGATGTTTTTCTCTCATCCATATTTCTATCTCTCTCCCCATCTCCCTTACTCTTTATCTATAAGAATATACTTAAGAAAAAAAGAAAAGGTAAATTATTTTGTCTCATTCCAGCATTCAACAACTTCCACATCTCATCTCATTAGGAGCATCAGAACACCTGGATATGGGTTACAGGACGGACCTTCTGTCCCCTCTTCCTGCTATTGCTGCCACTTTGACCTTATTCCCAGCATGTTCCCGACCATCAACTCTGCTCCACCACGCAAGCTCCTTAGTGGTTCTTTTGTTTTTTTCGTTCATCGTCACCCGAGGATATTTTTTCTTTTCCCCCCCTTTTTAAAAATTCATCTTTATTGTTGAATGTATTAGAGATGTTCCCCCCCTATTTTCCCTCGTAACCACCTCCTCCCCATTCCTGGCACCCTCCTGCCTTCCCTACACTGCTGTCTGTGTCCACTGGTTATGCACATTTGCATGTAAGTTCTTTGGCTTATCTCATTCTCCCTCTCCCCTTCCCTTTGAGGTTTGTCAGTCTAACAGCCAATCTGTACTTCTTTTTTAAATCCTCACCCGAGGATATTTTTCTATTTATCTTCAGATAGGGTGGGGAAGGAAAGAGTGGGAGAGAAAGGGAGAGAGAGAGAGAAACATCGCTGGGAGAAGGACACATCAACTGGTTGCCTCCCGCACAACCCCGACCAGGGCCAGGGACAAACTGCAACCAAGGTACGTGCCCTTGGCTGGAATCTAACCCGTGACTCATTGGTCCATGGGCCGACGCTCCAACCACTGAGCCAAACCAGCCAGGGCCAGAGGATATTTTTTTCCACTGATTTTTTTTTTTAGAAAGACTAGAAGGGAGGTGGAGACGGAGAGGGAGAGGGAGAGGGAGAGAGAAACATCGATGTGAGAGACACATCAATCTGTTGCATCCCCTGAGAGCCCTGACCTGGACCAGGGATCAAACCTGCAACCGTTCAATGTGTGGGCTGATGTTCTAAACACTGAGCCACACTGGCCAGGGCATCCTTAGTGTTTCTCAAACACATTTTGCTTTTTCAACTTGCTATCCTTTCTATTTAGAATCTCCTAACCCAGCACCCTAACTTCCCTCATCTCTTGGCTCAAAGGCATCTTATCAGAGACATATTTACTCTCTAAAAGAACAGCCCTGGACCCAGCACCTACTGTCCATTCTGCTGAACTATGTTATCACAGCAATTTTTACCCTCAGGATATATTACTTAATTGTGTGTTTTGATTCACTTTTTGATTCCTTCTTTTAGAATGAAAGCTCTTGGTCTATTTGTATGCTTATTCTCACTGCGGTTATCCACCGGGATACACTAGGTTATCTAAAAATAATTTATAGAGGATGAATCAAGGAAGCAACAACATGTATGGAACACACTGGGTAGCAGTTCAGAGAAAAGATGGAAATCTGTCTCTTTGTGAACAACAGATCATATCATGCAGATAACAGAAAGAAGAATTTTAATGTCATGTGTTGGGTAATGGAGTTAACCAGTACTAAATGTCCTCAGAATGTGGTGCGAAGGACATACAAATGGCTAAGAGATATATGAAGAAATGCTAAACATCACTAATCATCAGAGAGATGCAAATTAAAACAACAATGAGGTCAGAATGGCCGCCATCAACAAATCATCAAACAAGTGCTGGCGAGGGTGTGGAGAAAAGGGGACTCTAGTACACTGCTGGGGGGAATGCAGATTGGTGCAGCCACTATGGAAAACAATATGGTGTTACCTCAAAAATTTAAAAATTGAACTGCCATTTGACCCAGTGATCCCACTTCTAGGAATATACCCTAAGAAGCCTGAAACACCAATCAGAAAGAATACATGTACCCCCAGGTTCATAGCAGCACTATTTACAATAGCTAAGATCTGGAAACAGCCCAAATGTCCATCAGTAGACAAATGGACAAAAAAGTTGTGGTACATATACACAATGGAGTACTATGCAGCTGTAAGAAAGAAAGATCTCTTATCCTTTGAGATGACACGGAGGGACCTGGAAAGTATTATCCTAAGTGAAACAGGCCAAACAGAGAAAGACTAGTATCATATGATCTCACTTATTTGTGGAATATAATGAACATAACAGTCTGAGGAATGGGGTAGTCCCAGAGGCGTGGAAGTGGGGTACAGACTGACAATCCCCAGAAGAGGGGGTGATGGGGGAGAGATAAACCACAGAACTTAAATGCATGTATGCATGAACAATGGACATGGACAACAAAGCTGGGGACAGGGCGGGGAGGGAGGAGGAGGGGGGATTCAGTGGGGGAAAAAGGAGAAACATCTGTAACAAAAATAAATTAATTAATTTAAAAAAAAAGAATATGATGGGACGAAAAATGAAAGTTTTAGGGGTACAACAATGATAACATCTACAATAAACAAGAACAAATTTCAAAATTAGTAAATATACAAAGGAATTCATTTTGCTGTTGTTAATCCTTACCTGAGGATATTATTCCATTGATTTTTAGATAGAGCAGAAGGGAAGGAGGGGGAAAGAGAGAGAGAGTGAGAGAGAGAAACATTGGTTGCCTCTCACACAAACCTGATCGGGGCTGGGATGGAACTTATCTCCAAGATATGCGCCTTTGACCAGAAATCAAACCCCTGACCATTGGGTCTGCAGGCTGACACTCTAACCCCTAAGCCACACTGGCCAGGGACACAAAAGAATTAATCTGAAGTAGGCAAGAGTATGGTCTGATTTCGGCCGGAACAGAGAATGTACGCAGCTAGTTAAAACACATCATGGACAGCAGACTGCTTTAAGAAGAGGGCTCTGTGGGTAGGAAACAACTGAGGTGATGGCTGGATGGCCAGGAGGGCAGATGCACAGGAGTGAAGGAAAACCTAAGCTTACAGGGTTTCAGGGAAGGACAATGATTCTAGGTCCTGGCAGTGATTGGGAGCTCAGGAGACTGGCCATCGAGATGAATAAACTCTACAGAATAGAGTCTGGTGGATCGCACTGGGGAGATTGCAATTTGAGAGACTTATGCAGGGAACAAAAGAAGCTTAGCTGATTATAATGAAGAAAACATTGCCCTCGCCAGTTTGGCTTAGCAGTTAGAGTGTCGGCTCACAGACCAAAGAATCATGGGTTCAGTTCTGGCCAAGGACATGTACCTTGGTTGTGGTTCATCCCCAGCTCTGGTTGGGGTCGTATGGGAGGCAAGCAGTGGATGTGTCTCTCTCGTTGGTGTTTTTCTCCATCTCTCTCTCTTTCTCTCTCTCTCTCTCTCTTCCCCTCTAACTTGATCTGAAGATATTTGGAAAATAGCCTCAAATGAGGATTATGAAAAAATAGAAAGAAAGAAAGAAAGAAAGAAAGAAAGAAAGAAAGAAAGAAAGAAAGAAAGAAAGAAAGAACGAAAGGAAGGAAGGAAGGAAGGAAGGAAGGAAGGAAGGAAGGAAGGAAGGAAGGAAGAAGGAAAGAAAGAAAGAGAAAGAAAAGACAACTTTGAAGGGTTAGTGGTTCAAATGAGAAAATGGAAATCAGAACTTTCAAAGACTCTCAGAGTGAAGAATAGGTGAAGCTGAGATAAAAAGAAAAGCAAGAAATAGTGAAAACCAGTTTACTTTGGGGTCGCAGCTTCCAAGATGGGGTGGCTGTTAGGAAGGGAGATCAACATCACCAGGAGCAGAAAGGGCTACTGGTCAGAAAACAGCGAGCACAGTTTTCTCTCTGGAGGGAAGCCTTGGACGGTGGAGTTTCATAAGTAAAAGGGGTGAACGAGTATAAAGAATAAAGGAACTATGTGGGAAATCTAAAAAGAGGACTATACAAACAAAAACTCAAAGTGCATATAAAATAAAGGGCAGTCACACCCAGAAGAGAGAAAGGAATCTATCTCTACACTCCTACAAAGCGAAAGGGATCTCGCACTGGGAGACACGTGCGTGGAGGGACTGCTCACCTATCCTCAAACCCCATCACATCTGAGCCGCTTCTCTGAACGACTAGAATGTGATTTCACAGCCGGCCCCTCGCTGGTTCTCTCACTCACCTGAACGGGTTCGACCGTGGATTTCACCTGCCATTGTCCACGGTGCTTCTCCGTGATCCAGCTTGGAGAGGGTGTCTGGTTTGCTAGCTTCGTAACCTGTTCCCGGGGAATGACAGAAGCAAGACTTAGACACACAGACTAGGACTGGGGTCTGTGAAGACAGCACAATGTTGTATTTAAAGAGAAAAATTTTCACACTTGCACAGTCAAAGCTTTTCTCTCAGGGGAAGGGAGAATATACCTGTCAGGGGCCAGAGAGAGAACTAAGATTCATCCACACTTCAGCAAACCACAGACATGCCAGAGCTTTCAGAAGCTGAGAATGGAAAGACCACTGACTGGGACCTTCTGAGTGACACAGGGCAGCTGTCCTCACCCAATGACACCAGGTTGCTGTAGTTCTCCAGCATCACGTCCCTGAACAGGTCCTTCTGAATGGGGTCCAGGAGCTGCCACTCCTCCCAGGTGAAGTCCACGGCCACATCGTGAAATGTCAGGGATTCCTGTAACAACTCCATGCTGTTTATTGGGTGATGTCCTTCAGATGATATGGAAAAAATGCTTGTTTTTCTGCTTATTTTCACTTTATAGGCTGCATCTATATAGTGAGTGAGGTTTTATTTATTTATTATGATTATTTTTTAATATTTTGTCTTTATTGATTTAGAGAGAGAGGAAAAGAGATAGAAACATCGATGAGAGAGATTGGCCGCCTCCTGCATGCCCCCCTACTTGGGATTTGGCCCACAACCTGGGCAGGTGTCCTGACCGGGAATCGAACCGGCAACCTCTTGGTGCCTAGGTCAATGCTCAACCACTGAGCCACGCCAGTCGGGCGAGTGGGGTTTTATTTTATATACAGTTGAATAATCACGTGTCTAGTAAAATACAGGGTGGGGGGAAAATGTAGGTTTACAGGTGCTCCTATGGAAAATAATGCAAAAATTAAAAAACAATACAAGAATCAACTCTGTTTCCCGTACTCACAAGTGTAAATCTAATTTCCCCCTCCTGTATTTTGTAATTGAGCATTCAATCATCCAAGCATTCATCCAATTAGGAGTTTCTATCATTTAAACAAATTAAATGTTCTTGTTAACTTAGAAATACTATATTCACATATTTGAGAGACAAAAGATATTTGTATACATGTAGAGTTTTCAAATGAACAAAGGTGGTTTTTTGTAGGCCTCTAGAAGTCCATTAATGAAGACAGAAAAAAATAAAACAAAGTCACCTGAGCCTGCATTTTCTTCTGTCCTCTGAAGAGCGGCAGCAGGGAGGCTCTGTGTTGGTGTGTGCTGGGGCTGCTCTAATTTCTGCTCAGAAATCTGTCTTCAGTCCGGTGTGTCACAGCATTGCTAAGACCTAACCCTGCAGCTTCTTCCTGCTTCACATGATTCTTCTGCTCCTGGGGCATCATGACCTGTGGACTGAAGGAAAACTCAATGGGTGGTACATTTCCTCTGGGCCCAGATGCTACACTGCTCCTGAGCGCTCGCCCTCACACAATACCCACAATATCGCTAGTATCCCTTATATGGCATCCGGAAGTATTTATTCTTCTTGCCGATAAAGCCTTAGTTTCTAACTGTGGTGGACGTACGCCTTTATCCTGTGGAGTGTAAGTGGGGTAACTGTTATAGGTGACCTGTGAAATGACATCCATTCCTGCACCACGCCTCAGGAGCAGGTATGTGTCAAAAAAAAACACTTACACAAAGGAGACCACATGAAAGGAGGGGATCTGGGCACTTTCCCTTTGAACCCTGTGTGCTCAGGTGCCTCTCAAACGTTTCTGTACACCCCGTGAGTGCACACACTTCGGTGGAAAACCAATGCACTGGGCATGTCATCAGCACTATCTCATACGCAAAAATTATTATGTCTCAGAGGGTTTAAATACATACAAAAGAAAAGTACACAAGACTAAAAATAAATTGGAAGGAGGTAAATGAAGTTAAAGTGTTTTGAGATTTCTGTTCTTTCAGAGATGAGTGCAAACGTACTATTTCACACAAGAATTTAACCAAGTTCCAGGTTATTATGTAGTCTCTAGTGACAGGATGAAAACTAACAGTTGTTTGAAAATACATAACTTCCATGGTTATGGATGGGGGAAATATAAATTTAAAACATCATCCAAGCCCTGACTGGGAAGTTCAGTTGGTTAGAGCACCATCAGATACGCCAGGGTTGTGGATTCGATCCTCTGTCAGGACACATGCAAGAAACAACCAATGGATGCATAAGTAACTGGAACAACAAATCAGCCCTGGCCAATGTGGCTCAGTTGGTGTGTCCTCTCATCCTTTCACCCACTAAAATGTGGCGGGGTCAATTCCCGGTCAGGGCACACACCCAGGTTTTGAGTTTGATCCTCAGTGGGGTTGTGTGCGGGAGGCAACCACTTGATGTTTCTCTCTCACATGGAAATTTCTCTCTCTCTTTCTCTCCTTCCTTCTCTCCCTCCCCCCCTTCCTCTCTCTAAGATCAATTTAAAAAAGCACACACACATACACAAAAAACAAAATCAATGTCTCTTTCTCTCTCACACCCACTTCCTCTCTTTCTCTCCAAAAGTCAATAAATAGCTGGGCCGGTGTGACTCAGTGATTGAGCACCGACCTATGCACCAAGAGGTCGCCAGTTTGATTCCCGGTCAGGGCACATGCCCAGGTTGTGGGCTTGATCCCCAGTGTGGGGCATGCAGGAGGTGGCCAATTAATGTTTTTCCCCTCACATCGATGTCTCTCTCTCTCTCCCTCTGTAAAAAATCAGTAAAATCATATTTTTATATATATATATTTTTTATCCTCGCCCGAGGACATTTTTCCATTTTTTGTACAGACAGAGTGGGAGGGAGAGAGAGAAAGAGAGAGAGAGGGAAACATCGACGTGAAAGGGACACATCGAGTGGCTGCCACCCGCACGACCAACCAGGGCCGGGGACAAACTGCAACCAAGGTACATGCCCTTAGTGGAAACTGAACCCGGGTCTCTCCGGACCACAGGCGGACGCTCTAACCGCTGAGCCAAACCGGCCAGGGCTAAAATCATATATTTTTTTAAAAGGCCAATAAAACATATGCATTTGTAGTGAGACAGATCAAAAGAAAACTGGTGCAAACAAAATATATATGGAATTAATGGGAGTCATAAATCACACTAAATAGACATTTTTTTTAGTCTTAAAGAATACTATAAACATATTTATGTCATTAAATTTGAAATCCTGGATGAATCATAATTTTATGATACTACACTTTTAGAAACTGTTAACTCCAGATATTGTAGCAGGTGAATTTTGGGGTAGAAAACAGGACTCAAATGTCCACTACAACCCCAATCTCCTGTTTTGCATTGGACAGTTGAGCCAATGTATTGAGATAAAAATAAAATATAAACATTAGAAAAAACAAAAAATTAAGGTTACATTCAGACAATATTTCATCAACATGGAAAAGGTGATTCAAGGCGTTACTTATTTAAAAGAGAAAATGTTCCCTAGAAACCACTAAGCAGATTTTTCACTTATATAGCTCACTGGAACTGCATGCACTATGTACCTAAGCTCACTTCATGGTAATTTAATCACTAGTGATGGGAACTGGAACCACCACAATTGACTAAGACCAACCAGGACTTAGGGACAAATAGGGATACAGGTTACCTTAGCAGAGGGATGGATATTAAATAGAGATTCTATTAGGGGGAAAAAAGTGTGAATGTATGTCAGGCAAATAAGCAAAAGTGTCTGCGGCTACACAGTAAGTGGTGAGAGCAGGTGTTGGCAGAGGGTTAGACAGATATTTTCAGCATTGAGGGCCATAGGTCTGGGTCACATGGACTCGGTTCTGCCTTCTTAGCAGGAGAGCAGCCAAAGGCGGTGAGTGACAGATGGGTGTGGCTGGATCCCTCTCTGCCCTGCAGTTGGCCAACCACTGAGTAAAAAAAAGGGTAAAGAACAGAGGCCTTCTGCCTTGGCCGGTTTGGCTCAGCGGGTAGAGTGCAGTCCTGCGGACCCGGAGAGCGCTGGGTTCCCTTCCGCTAGGGGCACGTGCCTAGGTTGTGTTTTGTCCCCAGCTGGGTTGGGGGTCCTGTGGGTGGCGGCCACTGGATGTGTCTCTCTCACATTGATGCTTCTCTCTCTCTTCCTCCCTCTCTCCCTCCCACTCTACCTGGAGATAAATGCAAAAATGTCCTTGGGTGAGGATTAAAAAAAAAAGAACAGAGGCCTTCTAACTACTTGTCCTGGGCCCTACCGCCTTCTCTGGGGTTTACATCTGAGCTATATCCCTCCCCCGCGCCCCCATTAAGGCCCATCTGAACCAGAACACATGCACAAGAAATATAGCGGCACTTTCCACAACGAGCCACACTGCAAACAATCCGACTTTAATTAACAGCAGGGAAACTGCCACACACCCGGCTGTGGACCGCTAGGGACTCCGTTCCGTCCCAACAGCCGAGGCTGGGACCTCGAACCACCCACCAGCCCGGGGTCCTCTCCGGACGGACGCTGAGCACACCCCCCACACCCCGCTATTATTCCGAAACCTGCACCAGACGCCCTCTCGTGACGACCACCACGCCGGCCCCCACGTCGCTGAGCCCCGTGTGGAATCCCGAGCCTGAACCCCACGCGACCACCCGAAGTGCCACCTCCATCCGGTACGAACAGTGACCCGCAGACCGTGGCGGTCGGGACACAGTGTTGATCTCTACAGACACTTAATCGCCCCAAGACCCCCAAAGCCCCCCCCAACCACAGACAAGCGTGTCACACCTGCTCCCTCCCAAATACCTGGCGCTCCTCCCACAACCCCCGCCCCTACCTCCAGGGCCCGGACGACACCCCTGCGTCCCTGTGACGTCACGTATCCTGTGAGAGGCAAACCTCCCACAGAGATAAATTTTCCTAAAAACCTCCAAGGACAAAACCACACTGACCTGATTGTCTACAGCGAACCAGGGGAGTCTAAACGTTACACTTCCGCGAACTGATTCAGCTTCTGAACACGTCGCCCAGATATTTCGTCACCTACGGCGGCCCACGAGGGTCTGAAGCCTTTAAAGAAACGCGAGCGATGTCCGCATTCCCTCCGAGGCAATATGTCCGCGCGCAGCCTCCGGCGCCGCCTCGGGGGCCGCCATGTTGGGAGACCTGACGCTGTGCAGGGGGGGCTGGAAGGTGAGAGGCTCCTGAATTTTACCTTGTTTCCTGGCACCTGTACCCTTGTGGAAAAGGAGTGAATTTTCAGGGATTCGAGGCAAATACGGAGCAAACTAAATATGTTTGGCAGATTGGGCAAAGAAGTTATGTGGCCGCTGCCTGTATTTTAGTTTGTATAAATACAACTTAAAAAATTAAAAAAAAATAATAATGTTGAGAGCGAATGGGAGTGGGGGAAAAGATACATCAAGAAACCCGTTTGCCTGCCTCCTGCAAGCCTCCTACTGGGGATGGAGCCCACAACCCGGGCATGCTCCCTGAGGGAAATCCAATTGGCAACCTCCTGGTGCATAGGTATGGGCTCAACCACTGAGCAACACTGAGGACTAAATAAAACTTTTTTTTTTTTTTAATTTTTTTCTTTATTGATTTTTAGAGAGAGAGAAAGGTAGAAGGAGAGAGAGAGACAGAACCATTGATTTTTTTTTTTTTTTTATCCTCACCCGAGGACAGTTTTCCATTTTTTGTACAGATAGAGTGGGAGCGAGAGAGAGGAAGAGAGAGAGAGAGAAACATCGATGTGAAGGGACACATCGAGCGGCTGCCACCCGCACGACCAACCAGGGCCGGGGACAAACTGCAACCAAGGTACATGCCCTTAGCGGGAACCGAACCCGGGTCTCTCTGGACCGCAGGCAAACCCTCTAACCGCTGAGCCAAACTGGCCAGGGCCTAAATAAAACTTTTTAAAAAACTTTTGAAATGGCCAGTGGCTCAGGTGTCGGTGTAGCAGCAGAGAATTAAATCCTGCAAAGAGAAAAGGTCACGGATCCGGTAATCGGACACCAACAGGCCGCTTCTGGTGGAAAATTTCTTGCAGGAAATGGTTTTTAATTTGAGAGAGAGGAATGGAGAGGGAGAGACAGAAACATCAATGAGAAGGACATATCGACTGGCTGCCTCCTGCATACCCCCCACTGGGGATTGGGCCCACAACCTGGGCATGTGCCCTGACCAGGAATCGAACCGGCGACCTCTTGGTGCATGGATTGACGCTCAACCACTGAGCAACATCGGCTGGGCTAGATACACATATTTTATAATATGGAAATATGTTTGAGAAATCAAAATTGGGTTATGCTTTTTGTTCCATTTTTATTGAGATATAATAGGCAAAGATTAGAAGTACATTTGATTTTTTTCTTAATCCTCACCTGAGGATATTTTTCCATTGATTTTTAGATAGAGTGGAAGGGA